GCCTCCCAAAGTGCTGGGATTACAGGCGTGAGCCACTGCGCCCAGCTAGATGCACACTTTTAAAACAAGTGTATCTTTGATACCAGATGGGGTGTAATTCATAGGGTTTTGAGGATTAGGGTTGAGATGGAATGGTAACTCATCACTTTTTCTTCAGTGTTGGGTAGATTCTTTTTTTGTTTGTTTGTTTAAATCAAAAGACCTCTTTCTGACATTAAATAAATGGATACCTCCTTTTGGATTTTATAGCCAGAATGAAAATAGTGTCATTTACATAGGAAGAGCCTGTTTGTAGAGCATTTATCCTGTTTTTGCTGCCTGACTTCTTTGTATCTTTTCCTCTGTACCCATCCTACCATTTGTAACACGAAGAACTTGACTGCATGGTATTTGTCTGGAGAAGTTTATTTGAGCTTTTAGTAAGTGATCCATAGGATTTTTTTTCTTTTTAGTATTTATTTTTTATTTGTTTAATTTATATTAACCTCAGAGCTAACTGAAAGTATCAGCAAGCTTTATCAGTTTCATTTTATATTTTCTCTCTCTCTCTTTCTTTTTTTTCTCTTATTAATAGCATTGCTACTGATGTGTACAGGGCTGGAAAGAACATAGATGCAAACTCTCCTTAATCATTCATTTTTATGTTTTATCTTGTATAGACTGAGTTGTAGCATCTTTGCTGAATACTGCATTATTTGAATTCCTGATTGTTTTCTAGCATTTAATGTATGGTATTAGCTGAAGTTGGTTTCAGTATGTTTCAGTAGAATTCTTTTGCCTTTCTACCTATGTGCCTGTTCCTTAATTATGTTTTCATTTATTCTTATGTTCAGCTTGTTTTTTACATATGTCCCATTATGTGGCAAAATGTCTCAGTTCTGTACTCATAGATGTTATCCTCTAACTCTTCATATGTCTTAATTGGATTTGGATCATAATCCCAAAAGACACAATCCTAAACACCATAATCCGAAATGTTAAAATCCTGAATGATCAAAATCCCTGAAGCCTAAATCTCTGAAGTCTAAAATCCCTAATGTCTTCAATCCCCAAAATCACAATCACAGGATAGTTGCTTCATGTTAGGCAGAACTATTACTTTGTTGTGTTTATTTGGAAATTCAGTATGGTTTAAGGAGATGCATATAGATGCCAGGTTGACAAGGGGTAGAGTTATAGACTTAGTTTTAGAGATGTCAGTTTGACTGGATTAAGGAATACCTAGAAACCTGGTAAAATATTGTTTGGGATGTGTCTGTGAGGATGTTTCCAGAGGAGATTAGTGTGTAAGTCTTGTGGATTAGGTGGGGAAGATCTGCCCTCATTTTTGGTGGGCACCATCAAATTGGCTGGGGGGCCCAGAAAGAACAAATACAGAAGGCATGTGTGTCTCTGAGAGCTGGGACAGACTTTTCTTCTGCTGTGTTGGACATCAGAACTATAGGCTTCTCAGCCTTTGGACTCAAGGACTTATACCAGTAGCACCCCAGGTCTTGAGGATGAGAGTTATACCATCAATTTTTCTGGTTCTGAGGCCTTCAGTCTTGGACTGAGCTATGCCACCGGCATCCCAGAGTCTCCAGCTTGCACACAGCCTGTTGTGGAACTTCTCAGCCACCACAATCATGTGAGCCAATTCCCCTAGTAAATCCTCCATCATGTATCTATGTACGTATCCTATTGGTTCTGTCGCTCTGGAGAACCCTGACTAATAGAGATTTGGTATTAGAGAGGCTGAGTGTCATTCCTTCTTACTGTATTCCTTACAACACAATGAAAGATCTGTGAAATTGTTTCCGCATAGAAAGGCTGTGTGATAAGTTAAGTGTATGAGGCTACTTAATGGTGAAAGATAGAAATTTAAAAGCTAATTATAATTGCTGCTGTGAAAGCAGAATGTTGCTTAATTGCAATGGCCAAGCAATAACAAAACTTTCCAATGGACCGCATATACTTACAAAATTTGTAGACCACAACCACTCTCCAAAACAAGTGCAGTGAGTGTTTTGAACATCATACAAGAATTGAAAATGCATGCGAAAAATACAGGAAATCTCCCCTGCCAAATTATATTCAATTGTGTACGAGTACTGCCCCTTCACACATGCCCCTTCATACTTGCCTTTAAAAAACACCCTTCATTACAGAAGAAAAAGAATTTGACAAGCTCGGTGACCTTCTGAACCAAAAACTCTTGTCGATATTGAGGTTCCTCCACTGTTGCAAAGCACGTTAAATGGTGAACTATTCTTGATTAGGGATTTGACTGTTGAAGAGGATAGACTTCTTATATTTACCAGTAAATCTAATATAGCAAAACTAGCACATGCTTCACTTTGGCTGATGGATGGTACTTTTGAAACTGTCCTCACTTTTTTTTTTAAATCACCTGTATATAATTCATGCCCCTATTGAATCTGAAAATTCTAGAACTTATCTACTAGTTTATGTATTAGTGACTATGACTAGAAAAAGTGAAACACCTTATAAATGTTTGTTTGAAGATTTGGTAGACTTGGCAGAAGAAAGTGGATTTTGATTGAATCCCTGAATCGTAATGACAGATTTGGAATGTGGTGCAATCAAGGCTTCTAAAAGTGAATTTCAAGATGGTACAGATAAAGTTTGTTCCATTGAGCCGTAATGCATTTGGCAGAAACTTCAGATTAATGGATTGGCCACATAATACAGCAAGGATGAAAGTTTCAGTGTAAAAGTGCATTGTGGCAGGCTTATGTTATCCCAGCACTTTGGTAGGTCAAGGCCGGAAGATCACTTGAGCCTAGGAGTTCTAGACCAGCCTGGCAACATGGTGAAACCCCATCTGTCCCCAAAATACAAAAATAAATTAGCCAGACTTGGTGGTGCGTGCTTGTAGTCTCAGCTACTTAGGAGGCTGAAGTAGAAGGATGGTTTGAGCTGGGGAGATGGAGGTTGCAGTGAGCTGAGAGTATGCCATCGCACTCCAGCCTGGGCCACAGAGCCAGATCCTGTCTCAAAAAAAAATAAAACAAAATAAATTTTAAAAATTTAAAAAGCACATTATGATGTCACTAGGGGAGGGTTGAGAAAAAAAAATAAAAGTGCATGATAGGTGTGGTGGCTCACTCCGTAATCCCAGCACTTTGGGAGGCTGAGGCAGGATGATCGTTTGAGCCCAGGAGTTTGAAACTAGCCTGGGCAACATGGTGAAACTCCATCTTTAAAAAAAAAATTTTTTTTTTTTAATTAGCTGGGCATGGTTGTGTGTACCTCTAGTTCCAGCTGCTTGGGAGGCTGAGGTGGGAGAATTGCCTGAGCCCAGGAAGTTAAGGTTGCAGTGAGCGAGATTGTGCCACTGCACTCTTGCCTAGGTGGAGTGAGAACCTGTCTCAAAAAGAGTGCGTTATTTTTATTTTTAAAGTGCATTATTTGCCTGCATTGGCATTACTTCCAGCTGATGATATTCTAGGAGCTTTTTTTTGTTCTTTGTTTTTTGTTTTTTTTGAGATAGAGTCTCACTCTGTCACCCAGGCTGGAATGCAGTGGTGCAATCTCGGCTCACTGCAACCTTGACTGCCTGGCCTCCCAGGTAGCCGGAATTACAGACGTCCACCACCACGCCCAGCTAGTTTTTGTATTTTTAGTAAAGATGGGGTTTTACCACGTTGGCCAGGCTGGCCTCGAACTTCTCACCTCAGGTGATCTGCCCATCTCAGCCTCCCAAAGTGTTGGGATTACAGGCATGAGCCACCGCGCCTGTCCTCCAGGAGCTTTTAATAAATTAAAACTGCATCTGTCTGAAGAAACCAGTGAAATTACTGACTGGTTCAAAAATAATTATGTGCACAGTAGGATAAGAAGACACACAATGGTGTTTCTGTTTGATCACCAGTATTGTTTTCACCAGGTTTGTGGTGTGCATATGAGTGCATGTGAAACAAATTTCTGCATGCCTAAAACAACATATAAGCGTGGCACAAAAGATGGGAAAATTTAACAGGAAATGCTCATGTCCATGTATGTCGAATCATAGAAGAATTTCAGAAAGAGCAGCACCATGTATAAAATGAATGTGAATGTATTCTCTGAGGAGAGCCATTCTCTAAAAGGAAAAAAGCAGCTGTTCATTGTGATGCAAGACTTCAAAATATAGTTAATGACTGTGAAAGTCTGCCTGCTCTTATGGACCGCCTCTGCACAATTGCCCAGAATCTATCACTTACTTTTTCATATGTTGAGTTTTCTTTTTAGTTTTAAAAAGTTTTTTCCCCACTTGTTCAAATTGCCAGCATTATTTTTTACAATTTGCTATGCTCTGTATTTCATCTTCACATAATTTCCATTACTGGAGGTATAAATTGTATAAAGACTTTTAGAGAGTTCGAATGTGTTTTATGCATTTTTTGCATATTTGCAAATTTGACTCCACAGGGTCCATTTTCACAACATTGACTTCGTGTGTAAGCATTGTGCATATATGTACACGTATGTTTATTGCGGCACTGTTCACAATAGCAAAGACTTGGAACCAACCCAAATGTCCATCAATGACAGACTGGGTTAAGAAAATGTGGCACATATACACTGTGGAATACTATGCAGCCATGAAAAAGGATGAGTTCACGTCCTTTGTAGGGACATGGATGCCGCTGGAAACCATCATTCTCAGCAAACTATTGCAAGAACAGAAAACCAAACACCACATGTTCTCACTCATAGGTGGGAACTGAGCAATGAGAACACTTGGACACAGGAAGGGGAACATCACACACAGGGCCTGTTGGTGTGTGTAGGGTGGGGGAAGGGGGAGGGATAGCATTAGGAGATATACCTAATGTAAATGATGAGTTAATGGGTGTAGCACACCAACATGGCACATGTATACATATGTAACAAACCTGCACGCTGTGCACATGTACCCTAGAACTTACAGTATTTAAAAAAAAAAAAGCATTGTGCGTGTATGTAAAATACTCTTTGGGTAACTGTAATATATGGTAGCAGCCCATCATGTTTGATTTTTTTTTCTTTTTAATTTTTAATAACCAAAACAAAGCATCTAAAACCACAGCTTCTGGAAGGACCACTTTTTCTTGCCTGTCTTGTATCTCTCTTCAAACTTGACCTTGGCCTCTCATCGGGCCCTGCATTTATGAGCAGGATCTCTGAAGACATCCTTATTGACGACAGTTTTGTCCAAGGGGATATCCATAGAATACCTTGTGGGCATTAGGTGATTGTAGTTATAAACTTTCACAAAAGACTTGATCTTTGACCTCTTGGCAATCTTCTTCTTGCCCATGGCAGCTGTCACTTTGCGGGGGTAGCGGTCAATTCCAGCCACCAGAGCACAGCTGTAGGGGCCATCTGAGGTGCCATCATCAGTGTTCTTCACGATGACGGCTTTGCATCCAGAGTAGCGTCCAGCCAGGACAAGCACCACCTTCTCAGGCTTCATGAACTTGCCCGTTTCGGCAGCAACCACTTGGGCCTACAGCAAAAAGCCCATCATGGTTTTTGATTGATCTTAAGACTTAGGTTGTTTGTCATGGTATTTCAGATGACTGCAGTTATCTAAGCTATTTTTTATGAATACACCTTGTCTGTTCATAACGTATACCACTATGACTGTCATTAGTTGTACCCGAGTGTTTATGCTTGTAAAATATGTATGTTGTTTTTGCCTATTTTATCATGTAAAGTGGCCTATGAAGTGTTCTGTTGTGTTTTTATGTTTCTCAAATAAATCCCCCTTAAAAATGTAAATAAATATCTTTTAAATTTTTTAAAATTCCTTTTTCCACAATTATATTTTTGGGATTTTGGTCTTTTGGGATTTCAACACTCGGGATTATGCCATTGAGGATTGTGTCTTTCGAGATTATGATTGGCTCCTGTCCTAATCATTACTTCCTAAATGTGGCACAGAGATCTTATCAATGGAGATACTCAGAACACTGAATCTGGGCACTTGTCACAGCTGGGTAGGAAACCTGGAATCGCCGTACTCTATGGTTAAAGATTACAAAGTCTGATTAAGTGCCAAAAAGAGTTCTTAAAAATGTTAGTGGTTCACTTTTCACATTTAATATGTTGCATCATTTGCTTCATTAATTAACAAGCATTTGTTGAGCACTTACTGTGTCAAGTATTTCCCACTGTTCATATTCCACTTGCTAAAAGCAGCGTTTTACAGTCTTTGTTTCTTAGGCATTTTGAGGTACGTTCTCAAAGTGATTGTAATAGTGGTTTTCTGTGCTTCCTACTCAAAATGTGCTCAGTGGGCCAGCAGCATTGGCAACATCTTATTAGAATTGTAGAATCTCAGGCCCCATTCCAGACCTATTGAATCAGACCCCTCATAGTGAAGCAGGATATTTCCCTGACCTCTTCATGGGAATTGTGACAGGCGTACCTTGTTTACTCAGCCTGCCACTCTCAACTCCTCGTGGGAAGGAGCGTGTGAGTGAACGAGGCGGGAACTGGAGTGCACAAGTGCTGGAACCAGCTGGCTGTATCGGTGCTTGCAGGACTCAAGGCCCTGCGGGTCCCACAGCAGTATCCAGGGGGCAGTATCTGCATCCCTCGAAGTCCCAGCGGGCGTGTTACAGTGCTCTTTTAGCTCTGCCATCCGTGAACAACTTAAGTGTTTGCAGCTTGATGGGCGCTTTGCCTTTCTGAGTGAGGCAGAGGTCCAGTGTGACAGCCTTTTGTATCTGTACACATAGCTCCCGTGCTCTTGTCCGGCATCCAGGAAAAATGAGCTCACAGGAATGAACTGAAGAATGGTAAATATGGGGGATTTTATTGCCAATGAAAGTGGCTCTCAGCAGGAAGGGGAGCTGAAAAGGGACCAGGGGTGGGTAGATTCTCTTCTGCTGAAGTACAGCCATCTCCAGCCGAATTCTTCTCTGAAGTTATGCCATCAAGCTATCCCTCTGAAGTCAAGCTGCTTCTCTCCAACATCCAGCCGCTTCTCCTCCCTCCCAGCTGAGTCTGGAGTTTTTATAGGATGGGGTGAGGTGGGGCCATGGGTGGTTTAGGAAAAGGCAACATTACAGCAGGAAAACAGGGATATAAGTTCTCACTTTGGGCTGCAGTTTCATGCTTTTCTGCTTGAGGGTGGGGTTTTGTCAGAGACCCGTCCTTTTCTGCCTAGAATTTCTCTGCCCCCTGTCTGTATCAATAGTGGTTTTAAACAAAAACTTTTTTGAAATTTTCTTTCATTATACTGGTTAAAGTTGAAACAAGAATGTAAACTCCATGATGACATAGACCTTGACTTGTGTGTCTAGCACCTAGCATCAGTCCTGTGCTAGGTGCCTGATAAGAATTTGCTGAATGAAACAATTAGTATCATGCATTTGAAGTAAATTTACTTGAATAAATTTAGAGGATGCCTTTGTAGTTTGTATTTATCAGATATATTCAGTGAAATCAATTAATTTTTTTAAAAACTTCAGTTTTGTTTTACTTTTTTTTTTTTTGGGGGGACAAGGTCTCGCTCTGTCACCTAGGCTGGCATGCAGTGGCATGATCATGGCTCAGTGTAGCATCAGCCTCCTGGATTCAAGCGATTCTCCTGCCTCAGCTTCCCAAGTAGCTGGTACTACAGGCGTACGCCATCCATGCCTGGCTAATTTTTAAATTTTTTATAAATACGATATCTTGCTATGTTGCCCAAGCTGGTCTTGAACTCCTAACCTCAAGTGATCCTCCTGCCTCAACCTCCCAAATTGCTGGGATACAGGCATAAGCCACCATGCCCAGCCCCAAAAAACTTTTTTTTTTTTTTTTTGAGATGGAGTCTCGCTCTGTTGCCTAGGCTGAAGTACAATGGCACGATCTTGGTGCACCACAACCTTCGCCTCCCGGGTTCAAGTGATTCTCCTGCCTTAGCTTCCTGAGTAACTGGGATTATAGGCACCTGCCACCATGCCCAGCTAATTTTTGTATTTTTAGTAGAGACGGGGCTTCACCATACTGACCAGGCTGGTCTCAAACTCCCGACCTCAGGTGATCCGCCCACCTTGGCCTCCCAAAGTGCTGGGATTACAGGTGTGAGCCACTGCGCCTGGCCTAAAACTTTTATTAATACCTATTATGTGTCAGGTACTATTCTAGGCATTGGATATACAATGATTAAAAAAAAAAAAAAAAGGTCAAAGTTCATGTCCTTACAGAACTTTTAGCTGGAGAGAGGGAAGAAAGACATTTTAGCTGGAGAGAGGGAAGAAAGACAATAAACTGGTAAACAAATATGTTAACAAAATAATTGCAGATAATAAGAGCAGTAGTCCTGCGAGGGTATCTGGAGGCATGAAGGCCAATACTTTTAGCCAGGTTATGTGGGGAGGCCTCCTAAGGCCTAAGACAGTAGTGATATGAAGGAGACCAGCCTTCAAATAGCCAGGAGAAGAGCATCATAAGTAGAGAGAGCAGCAAGTGTGAAGGGCCTGAGGAGGGAATGAGCTAAATATAGTTTGTTCATTCATTCAGATTGTTAACATCCAGATAAAGTTACTTCATTTAGGCTGGTCCAGTGCAGTGGTGCTTACAACTAATTGATCACAACCAGTTATAGATGTCTTTGTTTCTTCTTTACTCCCACTGCTTCACTTTGCTAGCCTTAAAAAAATTTTTTTTAATTACTTTATTTCGTACAGAGAAGATGAGAAGACAATGTAAATGCTTTGTGAGTGATGGTGAGGAAGTACTTTTAGTGATAGCAGTGAATCAAAGCATAAGGTCATGAATAGTCAACTTCATTGCCCAGTGTTTTCAAAGTCCCCACGTGTGTTGGTTATTCTTTAGTAAAGTAGACGTGACAATGCTTGTTGGCTGTTATTGTGAAGCTTGACTGATAATACTGGGATTTTGAGATCAAGAGGCTAGAAGCCAAGATGTTGGAAATATGTAAGGTCAGCTGCGTGCTTTTTCCTCCTCCCCTACAAATGAATCAACACTTGCTTTCTAAGTTTTTCTTCTGTATCTTCTTTCTCTATTGTTAGTTTCACTTCCTACTCTTAAAAATGCTGAGCTTTCAAAATCGTATTTATCAGGAGAAAAAAGAGACTGAAAGAGCTTAAAATGGGATACCTCTGGCTGGCCGTGGTGGTTCATGCCTGTAATCCCAGCTCTTAGGGAGGCAGAGGCAGGAGGATAGTTTGAGCCCAGGAGTTTGAGACCTGCCTGGGCAATATAGCGAGACCCCATTCTCCACAAAAAGGAAAAAAAAAGGGATACCTCTGAAAGAGGTTGTAATTTGGAATTGTAACATGAAAACCTAAGGAAATTTTTTGCAATTATTTCAGCTGTATACTTGTCATTGCTGTTATCCAGTCTTACAGCAAACTATCAGAATTTTACTTTTGCAATTTTAATAGAGAAGTCTCTGCATCCTAAGAAATGTAAAGAAAAAGAACAATAAAGACTTGGGGAACTTGTACATTTCATTGTCTCTTGGGGTGTGGAGAATTTTGCAGGGAATAATTCCTGCAATCCTACACCTTCAGATTGATACCTTCAAAGGACACTAAACCACGATCCTTTTTTAAGGAAGGATAAAACTGTATTTACTATATACAATTCTAGGCATTGGATTTAGTACGTGATGTATTTCACTAAGGTGGCCTCGGTGGGTACTATTTTAAGCTACTCTCTCTATGTGCATATCTTTAGTGACTGAAGGCATTAATATTTTATTCAGGATGTGTAGATAAGATATTTTTATAATTTAATGGAAAGTCTCATGTTTAATGGGTTGGAATTCTGTTTGTTGGCAATTAAATACCTAAGTATATTAATTTTTTAGGGTTTAGGGTTTTGCCAACAGTATTGCTTATAAGAGCCCCCCTTTTCTATCTTCTTTTTAATAGCAACATCATGACAACAGAGAAGAGTTTAGTGACTGAGGCTGAAAATTCACAGCACCAACAGAAGGAAGAGGGTGAGGGAGCCATAAACTCAGGCCAACAAGAACCTCAGCAGGAGGAATCTTGTCAAACAGTAGCCGAAGGAGATAATCAGTTTGAACAGAAGCTGAAAGCTTCTAATGGAGATACTCCTACACATGAAGACTTGACTAAGAACAAGGAGCGGACATCAGAAAGCAGAGGCCTTTCACGACTGTTCTCCTCGTTTCTCAAAAGGCCCAAATCTCAGGTGTCCGAGGAAGAAGGAGGCAAAGAAGTAGAGTCAGATAAAGAAAAAGGTGAAGGAGGTCAGAAAGAGATAGAATTTGGAACCAGTCTTGATGAAGAGATCATTTTAAAGGCCCCAATTGCAGCTCCTGAACCTGAACTCAAAACAGACCCATCTTTGGATCTTCATTCATTAAGCAGTGCAGAAACACAGGTAAGGATGTGTGGATATGGGAGGTGGGCAAAGGAAGGCAGGTTATACACTTTATTTTTCATTTAAGAGTATTTGGGCTGGGCGCGGTGGCTCATGCCTGTAATTCCACCACTTTGGGAGGCTGAGGCAGGCAGATCACCTGAGGTCAGGAGTTCGAGACCAGCCTGGCCAACATGGCCAAACCCTGTCTCTACTAAAATTACAAAAATTAGCCAGGTGTGATGGCGGGTGCCTGTAATCCCAGCTACTCAGGAGGCTGAGACAGGAGAAGTTTGAACTCGGTAGGTGGAGGCTGCAGTGAGCTGAGATTGCGCCACTGCACTCCAGCCTAGGTTACAAGGGTGAGATTCCGTCTCAACAACGGAAAAAAAAAAAAAAAAAGAGTATTTGGTTTTATTTCTTACCAGCTAGTTGACTTAGGCATTGATAGTGATAAGTAGCATCATGAAGTTTCATAGTTTCTACTCTTTTTTTTTTTTTTTTGAGACTCCAGCTCTGTCACCCAGGCTGGAGTGCAGTGGTGTGTGGTGCGCTCTCGGCCCCCTGCAACCTCCCCCTCCTGGGTTCAAGCTATTCTTCTGCCTCAGCCTCCCGAGTAGCTAGGATTACAGGCTCTGGCCACCATGCCCAGCTAATTTTTGTATTCTTAGTAGAGACAGGGTTTTACTCTGTTGGCCAGTCTGGTCACAAACTCCTGACCTCAGGTAATCTGTCCACCTCAGCCTCCCAAAGTTCTGGGATTACAGACATGAGCCACCATGCCCGGCCTATAGTTTCTACTCTAAAAAAATTAATGTAGTCATTGGAAATTTACTTTTTAAAAAGATACTTACACTTTATATGTTTATATAAAGGGTCTTGCTATTTTGCCCAGGCTAATCTCAAACTCCTGGGCTCAAGTGATCCTCCCACCTCAGCTTCCTGAGCAGCTGGCATTACAGGTGTGCACCACCATGTCTGTCCATTTACTGTTTGTAAATCAAAGAATAGAAGAGAAAAAAAAAGTATCAAATGAATGTGTTCAGCCCATATTTCATTTTATTATAATAATGGAACAAATTGAAGATTTTTCATGAGAAAAGAAAATAAAAGTGAGATGGTTTAGAGTTCATTTTTGTGGAATTATTGGGAACAGGACAGTTATCAGCAGATGTGGTTCTTTTATGTAAATCTTCCTAAAATCTGTGTGATGAATTCAAACCATCTGAAGGTATGTGATAGATTCAAGTCATGTCTACCTTATTTTGATTATCTTCTTTAACTAGATCATATTGCCACAGAGTGTAAGATATAGATGAGGAAGTCTAGCTCTTTCTATCACCTGTGTAATGTATATTAGTCTGGGTCCTTAATTGTGACATAGTGTTGTTAAATTAAACACAAGTTGTGAGTCTGTTTATTTGTCAAAAAAAAAAGGAAAATATTAGTACCGTAACTCAGATTATTTTCTAAGAATGTCATTTATTTTCAGCCTTACCATTACAAATTAAGAATTATTTTCAAAGTCTTCTTATTTCTGAAGCATGTGAATATTATCTGCGTTGTTAAAAGTGTAAGTCCTTCTAGAACTCTGACAGTGTTAGCGGGGAAAATGTATAAGTCCTACATGTTTCTGTTATAGGTCTGAGATTTGGACTCTGTAGTTTTATTAGAGTCTTATTAGAATATTATATGGATTTATGGAACTATTACTTGTATATTCAAAGTGCCGAGAGTAAAATTTAGGATAAAATTATAATTACACACTTGCTATTAGTGAAACAAGGTTGAAAACAAGATTTACTATATTGTGTAATAGTTAAGATACAAGCTATGGAATCCAACTAGAGGGTTCAAATCAAAGAAAAGTGACACTTTTCACTTTGTCAGTTTCCTCTTCTGTACAATGGGGATAATAATATCCACCTCATTTGGGATTGAAAGAGTTAAAAGAGAAAAATGGGTAAAAGCTCTTAAAACATTGCCTGGCATTTAATAAATACTCAATGAATGTTAGTAAATAAACACAAACAGTAAAGGCAAAGAAACCATTCATATTTTAGTACCATTTTATTTTAGGAATACCAAAAGAATTAAATTACATTATCGGCCGGGTGCAGTGGCTCGCGCCTATAATCATAGCACTCCAGGAGGCTGAGGCAGGCGAATCACGAGGTCATGAGTTCGAGAACAGCCTGGCCAACATGTTGAAACCCTGTCTCTACAAAAAATACAAAAAATTATCTGGGCGTGGTAGCGAGCGCCTATAGTCCCAGCTACTCAGAAGGCTAAGGTAGGAAAATTGCTGAGAGCCGAGATCGCGCCACTGCACTCCAGCCTGGGTGACAGTACGAGACTCCATCTGAAAAAAAAAAAAATTACATTATCTTTCAGGAAGCCTGGTACTTTCAAGAGCTTTTAAAATTTCCTTCCTTCCTTCCTTCCTTCCTTCCTTCCTTCCTTCCTTCCTTCCTTCCTTCCTTCCTTCCTTCCTCCCTCCCTCCCTCCCTCCCTCCCTTTCTTCCTCCCTCCCTTTCTTCCTCTCCCTCCCTCCTTCGTCCTTCCTCCCTCCCTCCCCCTCTTTATTTATTTTCTTATTTTCTTTCTTTCTTGACAGGTTCTCTCTCTGTCACCCAGATAAGAATACAGTGGTGCGATCATGGCTCACTACAGCCTCAACCTCCTGGGCTCAAGCTATTCTCCCATCTCAGCCTCCTGAGTAGTTGGGACTACAGGTGCATGCCACTATGCCCAGCTAATTTTTAAATTTTTTGGTAGAGACGGTCTTGCTTTGTTCCCTAGGCTGGTCTTGAACTCCTGAACTCAAGCAATCCTCCTGCCTCAGCCTTCCAAAGTGCTGTGATTACAGGCGTGACCACTGTGCCTGGCTTCAAGGGGTTTTTAACTGCTTTTTTTTCCTTCAGCTTTATGTAGGGGAAAATCCATATCTTGTTTTAGTTAACATTTGAATCACAACTTGTCTGTATTATCTAAAGGTCATAGATTCATACTCAAGTTGACACAGATGATGGACAAAGTTAATTTTAGATTTAACTAAAATCTCATTCATTAAGATTTAATTCGACCGGGTGCGATGGCTCACGCCTGTAATCCCAGCACTTTGGGAGGCTGAGGCGGGCGGATCACGAGGTCAGGAGATCGAGACCATCTTGGCTAACACGGTGAAACCCTGTCTCTACTAAAAATACAAAAAATTAGCTGGGCATGGTGGCGGGCACCTGTAGTCCCAGCTACTCAGGAGGCTGAGGCAGGAGAATGGCGTGAACCCTAGAGGGGGAGCTTGCAGCGAGCTGATATTGCACTACTGCACTCCAGCCTGGGCGACAGAGCGAGACTCCGTCTCAAAAAAAAAAAAAAAGATTTAATTCAGAATTGAAATAAATTGTCCATAGGTATTTGTTTTCATGTGGAGAAAAAGAAACAATATTGTTAATAAAATTTAAAGGAGATATTATTTAAAGGAACAAACTATTTTAGGCCTTTTGGAAACTAATATTTATAGTCAAAACCTTGTGGATCAGAGCCTTCTGGATAAAGGTTTATTTGCCTAACCATATTTCTGTATATGTAATAGGATTTTATTTAAATGGTCCTTTTTTATCCAGAATTTTTTAAAAAGTGTTTTTGCTTTATATTATAAATATATATTTGTATTACATATAAGTATATAATATATAAAAATATAGGATTGTACCAGTCTTCATCCAGAGGAGCTTGGATTTTTTGGGAGCTTATGTAAGTTTTTAATGTGTGTTTATTTATTAATTCAACAAATATTTATTGAAAACCTACCATGTGTGCCAGGCCCAAGGCTGGATATACCTTGGTAAATAAAAACTACAGTATGGTGAAGAGGTTTAAAATCATGGATTTTGGGGCTGAGTGTGGTGGCTTATGCCTGTAAGTCCAGCACTCTGGGAGACTGAGGTGGAAGGATCACTAGAGCCCTGGAGTTCGAGACCAACCTGGGCAACATGGAGAAGCACCATCTTTACAAAAAATTAAAAAACTAACTGGGCTTGGTGGCTGTCCTGTAGTCCCAGCTACTTGGGATGTTGAGGTAGGAGGATCACTTGAGTCTGAGAGGTCGAGGCTGCATTGAGCCATGATTATGTCACTGCACTCCAGCCTGGGTGACAGAGTGAGACTCTGTCTCAAAAAAAAAAAAAAAGAAAACAAATCATGCCAGACTGGTATGTGACTTATTAATTGTATGATCCTAGGCAAGTTACTTAATTTATTTGGCCTCAGTTTTACAACCCTGCAGGCCAGGTACTATTATCCTCCCTCTGTCAAGTGGGAGTGTAATAATAGTACCTGCTTCGCAGGGTAGTTATGAGGATTGAGTGAGTTCACATAAGTAATTTTCTTAGAATAGTAACTGGCCCATTGTAATTGTTGTAAAAATGTTTGGTATTATTATTATTATAAAACAGACATGATTTCTACCCTTGTGGACTTCAATAGAAAAGACAAAAAAGTAGTAAATAAAAATAATTATTTATTGTAATAAGTTATGAAGGCACCAGAGTACTGATACGAAAGACAGTAGAGTGGGCATAGATAGATAGGATAGCCAATGAAGGGCCTTCCTGAGGTTGCAGTGAGAGGGTCATGAAAGATGGGAAGGAGTCTTTTAGATTACTTCCAGTATTTAATGCAGGAGTCAAATAATTCCTTTTTCCTTATTGTCAACTATGCATTCTTTTTTTCTTTTAATTTTTTTCCAGCTGTTACACAAGGAAGTAACATATTCTTTTAAAAGAAAAGAATTAGTCGGGTTTAGATAAAAATATGTCAGTAGTTTTGTTGTATTGAAAGTGCAAGTAGGCCGGGCGCGGTGGCTCAAGCCTGTAATCCCAGCACTTTGGGAGGCCGAGACGGGCGGATCACGAGGTCAGGAGATCGAGACCATCCTGGCTAACACGGTGAAACCCCGTCTCTACTAAAAAGTACAAAAAACTAGCCGGGCGAGGTGGCGGGCGCCTGTAGTCCCAGCTACTCCGGAGGCTGAGGCAGGAGAATGGCGTAAACCCGGGAGGTGGAGCTTGCGGTGAGCAGAGATCCGGCCACTGCACTCCAGCCTGGGTGACAGAGCCAGACTCCGTCTCAAAAAAAAAAAAAAAAAAAAAAAAAAAGAAAGTGCAAGTAAAATGTATGCTGGCTGGGCACATTTGTTCACTCCTGTAATCCCAGCACTTTGGGAGGCCAAGGCGGGCAGATCATGAGGTCAGCAGATTGAAACCATCCTGGCCAACATGGTGAAACCCTGTCTCTACTAAAAGTAGAAAAAAATTAGCCAGGCATGGTGGTGGGCGCCTGTAGTCCCAGCTACAGAGTCCCAGCTCAAGAGGCTGAGGCAGGAAAAGGGCATGAACCCAGGAGGTGGAGCTTGCAGTTAGCCGAGATCGCACCACTGCACTCCAGCCTGGTCAACAGAGCGAGACTCCGTCTCAAAAAAAAATGTATGCCAAAAATGTTATCCTACTAATCGGTATTATTTGGGGATAATTTAACATTGCACCAGGAAACTCTTCCTTCATTGAATCTCCTTTGCATTTAACATGATTAATATTGGGTAGAAAGGAGTTAACTGGTAGTTAAAATTTTTAGCCTACTATATATGTTTGCTTAATGATATAAAATTGGTTCCAAGCATTTCTCTTAGAATTAAAATTAATTTAAAAGTTAGAATATGTAACAAGTCACATCTTATTTTGCAGTTTGTAAGGCTACCTTGCTAAAATTGAGGAGCATGGGCAGAGACAACGTTTTTGTAAACTTTAATAATAGCATGTAATGGCTTGGTCAGGAAGAATACATAATGCTGAGAGCAATGGATTGGTAACCTCTGGTTTGCCTGAAATCTTCATTTATTGTTTTGATGGGATTCTACCTGAGAAGTTTTAATACTAGCAAAGTCTTTAGGTCATTTGGGGGATCATATTACTTTTTATAGAAAAATAATTATTTAATATTAATGTCACCTATATTTGTTTTAGTTCGTGCTTTTGTTGGTAAGATTATTATAGGTAAAAGCATATACAGCATGTTTTGTGAAATGTCTTTATTACTGACTTGGCGATATCATGGATATGTAGCCTGCTCAGGAAGAACTCAGAGAAGATCCAGATTTTGAAACTAAGGAAGGAGAAGGACTTGAAGAGTGCTCCAAAATAGAAGTAAAAGAAGAAAGCCCTGAATCAAAAGCAGAAGGAGAATTAAAAGCTTCCCAAAAATCAATCAGAAAACACAGGAACATGCACTGCAAGGTTTCTTTGTTGGATGACACAGTTTATGAATGTGTTGTGGAGGTGAGTATGTTTTCATTTCCAACAATCAGAACTCTTACAGGTTGTTTCACCTAGAGTTGGGTAAGTGGTTATTTTGCCCACAATAAGACTCACTCTAATGATGATTTCTTTTTTCGAGACAGAGTTGTGCTCTGTCACCCAGGCTGGAGTGCAGTGGCGCGATTGTGGCTCACTGTAGCCCCCAACTCCCACGTTCAAGTGATTCTCCTGTCTCAGCCTCCCGAGTAGCTGGGATTACAGCCATGTGCCACCACGCTGGGCTAATTTTTCGAACTTTTAGTAGAGACAGGGTTTCACCATATTGGCCAGGCTGGTCTTGAACTCCTGGCCTCAAGTGATCTGCCCACCTCTGCCTCCCAAATTGCTGGGATTACAGGTGTGAGCCACTGCGCCCAACTGCTAATGATTATTTCTGTGGATAGAAGTATTAATGGTGATTTTCTGGAGGTAGGGTTATGGGAAGATGATGAGTAAGTCTTTAAGCCCAGTAAATGCCATTTCTTAAAATTTTCTATTTTCTGAAAGAATAAGTGATTGAATCAGGATTGAAGAAAAATATCAGAGTTATTCAGTTACTGTTTTTGCTCCTTCAGGGCAAGTTGAAATTTTAAAAAATCTAACTGTTTTTCAAACTAGAACAGTAGTTATTTATTATGATATGCTTGATATATAAGCAATTGTTTTAATTGTTACTAGTAACAGCTTTTATTGACAAAGCATATAATTCACATATATGTGCAACAAATTATTTTATTTATTTATTTATTTATTTATTTATTTATTTATTTAAGACAGGGTCTTGCTCTGTTGCCCAGGTTGAAGTGTAGTGGTGCAGTGACAGCTCACTGCAGCCTCAACCTCCTGGGCTCAGGTGATCCTCTCACCTCAGTCTCCTAAGTAGCTGGGACTACAGGCACACACCATCACACCTGGCTAATTTTTTTTATTTTTCGTAGAGACAGATTCTCACCATATTGCCCAGGTTACTCTTGAGCTCCCGGGCTCAAGCGATCTGCCCGCCTCAGCCTCCCAAAGTGCTAAGATTATAGGCATGAGCCACCGCACCCAGCCTTGTTTGTTAATCACCTTATTTATGAGCAAATGCAAATATGTTCAAGCACAAATCATCTAAAATATTACGCTATATTTACTAATAGGTACTCTCTAAGTTTAAAAAGGAAATCAAGAAAGATGTAATTGTACTTTAAAACAGATACTATACACCTAACTAGAGACTTAGGGTCTGCTTTTTCTGCTTCTTGCACTAACTGATTTAGAGATGGGGAAAGCTATTTTACACTCATTCTTCCCATTCAGACCAAGATCCAGATATGGATCTCTTATATATGAAGCCCTTGGGAACAGATATGTTTTAGAATTCAGAATATTTTCAGGCTGGGCACGGTGGTTCACGCCTGTAATCCCAGCACTTTGGGAGGCCGAGGCAGGCAGATCACGAGGTCAAGAGATTGAGACCATCCTGACCAACATGGTGAAACCCAGTCTCTACTAAAAACACAAAAATTAGCTGGGCATGGTGGCACGCACCTATAGTCCCAGCTGCTTGGGAGGCTGAGGCAGGAGAATTGCTTGAACCCGGGAGGTGGAGGTTGCAGTGAGCCGAGATCATGCCACTGCACTCCAGCCTGGCGACGGAGCGAGACTCTATCTCAAAAAACAAACAAACAAAAAACTAGAATTCAGAATATTTTGAAGTTTAGCAAGGGAATAAGTACATATTCTGCACATTTTATAATACACCCAGCAGTGTCTGTAGCAGCACCCACATGATCAAACATAGTATTTCTATGGTAAGATATATGAAGATTCATTCTAAGATGGATAAATGAAGATTATAAATAGCCTCTTTACAGTTCAAGTCCAAATTTAGATTTCAAAAATCCATTTGGATTTTAGAATTATGAATAAGGGATTAGGGAAAATACATGAAGCATTTTCAAATCATCTTCTGTCATTTAGAATGAAAACATGGGAGAAAAAAGAAGAAAATGATTTGATATAGATGAGTTAAAACTGACAATGGATGAACATTTTTGTGAATTATTAATAGTCATTAAAAATAACTCATCTCACTGAGAGGAGGACATGTCATATATGTTTGCCCAAAAAATGATTCTAATTTTTTGAAGTATTTTCATATGTATTTCTCAGAAGACATTCACATATTTGATTATTTTTAAATAATTCCAATAACGAGGTTGGATGAGTGTAAATATTCTTACCATTTCACAGCTGAGCAAACTAATGTTCAGAAAAGTTAATTGAATCTACTCAGCTTGTTTAGCTAGTAAATGGAGGAGCCAGGACTTTCTGACTAAATCTCAGTCTTTAAGTTAGGATATTTTCTTCCTATAAATAGGAGTAAAATAACCCAAATTTGGAAGTGGTTTGACTTTTTAGGTTAGGAAACATTAAGAAAATGATTCCTTGCACCACTGAAGGAGCCACTCCAACAGGTAGTGTCTGTTGGCTATCTAGAATTTTACTTTATTCATTTTTCTGAAAGATATTGTAGGGAGTTGAGGCATAGCTCATTTTCTTTGGGACATTTGGTCTGAAAATGATACAGTCTAATGATTTCCACAGCTACAATTAAATGTCACTCTGGACAGTTGATTCAGTAATTTAAGTAGTCACAGTAACAGAGTTGCTCATAGCATGCTATAGGAAATATTGCACCAAAAATAAAGAATGTGATGTGTAGGATGGAGATGGGGAATATGAGATGGAAGGAAGGTAGAATTTTACTTTGAATTGTAACACAATTTCCAATCTAATATATGTGTATTACATATGTAAACTGACAAATTGAAGAACAGGAATTTTATAAATCATCCTTTCTGCTTAAACTATGTAGCCACCTGAAAGTTTTTTAGTAACCAAAGATAAAAGAAGAAATTGGGAAGTGACATTTTATTTTATTTCATGAAGGGTATAGAAATAAGAAGAAACCTCAGGCCAGGTGCAGTGGCTCATACCTGTAATCCCAGCACACAGGAAGGCTGAGGCGGGGGGATCACTTGAGCCCGGGAGTTCAAAACCAGCCCAGGCAACGTAATAAGACTGTCTCTACAAAAAATTTTAAAAATTAGTCAGGCATGGTGGCGCATATCTGTAGTTCTAGCTACTCTGGAGGCTGAGGCGGGAAGATCACTTGAGCCCAGGAGGTTGAGGCTGCAGTGAGCTATGATCAGGCCACTGCACTCCAGCCTGGGCAACAGAGTGAATCCCCATCTCTTCTGGGAAAAAAATAAAAGAAGAAGAAACCTGAACTCAACTAAGACACGTATATCTTTGCAGAAACATGCTAAGGGACAAGATTTGCTTAAACGAGTATGTGAGCATCTCAATCTTTTGGAAGAAGACTATTTTGGTCTAGCCATTTGGGATAACACAACCTCTAAGGTGAGGAGACTGCTTGCAATTTAAGAAGCTGACAAAAAAATTGTTTTAATTCTTTTGTTGTTAAGAATGTATTTATACCTGCTTCTCTAAGCCAGTATTCTTAGAGTTATTCCTGTCCATTCTTATTTGTTAGATTTTCCTGCTGTTTTTCTTCTAGAATTAACATTTTAAAGAAAAGACCATTGCTGGTGTATTCTTTCATCATTGAAATAAAGTATATATTATATGTTTTTAAAAGGCAAGGAAAGTAAAGAGGTATGATGCACTGATTAGCAAGTACTGTAGATGTCAATAACTTAATATATTATGCAATTGGTATTGTATCTAATGCATAGGAGGTTTATAACAAATATTTGTTGAATGGATGATCTGTTATTAATATTATAATGACATATAATTAAATATAATTATAATTTGAAAGCAACATTATGAAACAGAATAAAATCCCAATATTATTGAAACAGTCATAACGATGAATCTGACATTTCCTCCAACCTAAAAGGAAAGTAGTTGTTAACTTTTGAAGGAAATAAAAGAATGGACTTGGAGGAGGGAAGAAAGGTTAAGGACTTGGAGGAGGGAAGAAAGGTTTAAAGTCAGGTATTTCACCTCAGAATACTTGAATTATTTCCTGGGCCGATTAATTGAAAATTGCAAATATTTAACATAAATCTAATGATGAAAGCTGTAGTCCAGTTTAACAAGTATTTGCAGGTGCTGTACTAGATGATATGGACGCAGCTGTGAATAAGGTAGACGTAGTCCCTGCTTATTACGAAGATAACATTAATTACTGGTTTGATGAGCACTATACAAAAGGAAATACAGGTTGTCAGGGGAGAGTATGGCCCGGGAAGTCTCCTCTGAGGAGGTGATGCCTTAGCTAAGAGAGACCTGAAGGATAAAATGGGCAAGTGAGGTGGAGAGAGAATGGCTTATGTAAGAACTGGAGTTGAGAGAGTGACATTTCAGGAACTGAAAGCCATCTAGCCTAGGTGAACACAGGGTATGAGGAATAGAGTAACAGATGAATCTGGAGACGTATATGGCCAGGTTGGGGGGTGGGTGTAAACTGGGGGATCCTGGAGTCTTGTAGACACTGAATTTAAGCCATTAAAGTTCATCCTTTCTCCAAGATAATTTAAGTGTATTAAGAAAAGTTGAAGGGCAGCAGCCTTTAACATCTGCAAACTGTAGATTAGATTGTGTGACTTTGATAATGCAAACTAGAAGACATGGAATTATCCTTTGCCTAAACAAAGTCTATTTGTAGAATATACCTAGTAGTTTACAAAAATTTGTTACTTCTATGAATGACTACTAACTCAAACAGAACTGTGTTTGAGCACTAGGTTAATATTATTCTTTAAAGACTTAACCTTTACTTTGTCTCCCTTAGGGCCCAAACTAGCTTGTACTGGTAAATATAGCTAATATTTGAGTACTGTACATTTCAATATCGTGAAGAGAGTAAATCTCAAATACTCTCATCACAAGGTCAAATATTTGAAATGATGGATAGTATGATTCATTTGATTTAATCATTTCACATAGTATTAAAAAAATCATGACATCACTTTCTGCCCCATAAATATATACAACTATAATTTTTCAATGAATAATTTAAAAAATTCTAGCCTTAATTGAAACCATTTCCTATTAGTAAGGGAACATTGAAGTTAATTTAAAAACAAAACAATGCCCTCAAAACTACAGTGAAAAACTTTCTACAACTGTGAGCTAGAAAATTCTCCCATGAATTGGCCGAGTGCGTTGGCTCACACCTGTAATCCCAGCACTTTGGGAGGCCGAAGTGGGCGGATCACGAGGTCAGGAGATTGAGACCATGCTGGCTAACCCGGTGAAACCCCGTCTCTACTAAAAATACAAAAAATTAGCCGGGCGTGGTGGCGGGAGCGGTGGTGGCTGCCTGTATTCCCAGCTACAGAGTCCCAGCTGGAGAGGCTGAGGCAGGAGAATGGCATGAGCCCGGGAGGCGGAGCTTGCAGTGAGCCGAGATCGCGCTACTACACTCCAGCCTGGGCGACAGAGCGAGACTCCGTCTCAAAAAAAAAAAAAAAGAAAGAAAGAAAATTCTCCCAGGAATCAAGGGAAATACTCTGAAAAGCGTTTTCTGTAAACTCAGTGAGATAATTTTGATTCCCAGAAATTGAATAGTTACATTGTGGGGGAGAAAACCAAAATTGATTTGAGAGTAATTAACAATCCTTTAATTTGGCATGTAAAGTCACCGAGTACCTACATCTACAAAATATGGCTGGAAATATTTTTTTCTGTGATCCAAGCATACTTAAATTTCTAGAAGCTGACTCATCTAAAGCCATTCAGCAGAAGAAATAATTTCCGCTTACAGTTGAGCTTCTAGGGCCCACGTTGGGACAAAAATTTTCAGTTACACTGAAAAATTTTCACCATTGTTGGGATTTATATTCTGTCCTGTCACCAAGTTTATTTTCTTTATAGTAGTTTTCCCTTTTTTTTTTTTTTTTTTTTTGAGACAGGGTCTCACTCTGTTGCCTGTGCTAGAGTGCAGTGGTGTGATCTTGCTCACTGCAGTCCGTGCTTTCCACGCTCAAGCGATCCTCCCACTTCTGTCTTCCGAGTAGCTGGGACCACAGGCACGCACCACCATGCTTGGCCAATTTTTAAATGTTTATGTTTTGTAGAGACAGGGCCTCACTATGTTGCTCAGGCTGGTCTTGAACTCCTGGGCTCAAGCAATCCTCCTGCCTCAGCCTCCCAAAGGTGCTAAATTATAGGCATGGCCCACTGTGCCTTGCCACTATTGTAATTAGTTTTTGTTTGTTTGAGACGGAGCTTCACTCTTGTCACCCAGGCTAGAGTGCAATGGCGTGATCTGTGTTCACTGAAATCTCCACCTCCTGGGCTCAAGCGATTCTCCTGCCTCAGCCTCCCAAGTAGCTGGGATTACAGGCATGCACCACCACGCCTGGCTAATTTTTTGTATTTTTAGTAGAGATGGGGTTTCACCATGTTGGCCAGGCTGGTCTTGAACTCCTGACCTCAGGCGATTCGCCCGCCTTGGCCTCCCAAAGTGCTGGGATTACAGGCGTGAGTCACTGCACCCGACCGTAATTAGTTTTTAAAGAGCAAATGTTAAATTGCTTTATTTATGTTCACTTACATATTTAGGTGTAAAGTGTTGTTAAAAGTGCTTAATATAAAAGCTTAATAACAAAGTACAAACCTGGCTGTGTCAGAAAAGTGCATTATTGTCCCCGGTAAGTATTTTTGGAAAAGAAAAGTTGATACCTCTGAATCATAATCTGGCTTCAACTTCCCTGATAGTTTATAAGAGCCCCTACTTGGGAAGTCAATGGGCAAGTGAATCCTGGGAAATATAGGCCTTATCATAGTCAGGGCATCGACAGGTCTGTATGGACCAGGTTCTTATAGGACATCCAGCAGGAACATCGTCAAAGGGAATGGGCTACTCTATATTTTATGCTTCTAAGTTTATTATGGTCAACCTCCAGCTCAGAAGTAAGTCAAAACAGAGTTTTGTTTTGTTTTGTTTTGTTTTATTAAAACAAGAGTCCTTAGCTGATCTCAGAAGCAGAGCATGGAAGGGAAAGTAAGAACTTCATTAGCACATGGCCTGGGTAAATCTTGTACAAAAATGAATCTGGGGAAGATTTACCTTAGGATTGTCAAGTTAAAGGGTCAATACAGTAGCAAAAACACCTTAGTGATGGCAGGCCTTCCTTAATGTGCTATCTCTTGGCTGGGTGTGGTGGCTCATGCCTGTAATCCCAGCACTTTGGGAGGCTGAACTGGGTGGATCACCTGAGTTCACGACCAGCCTGGCCAACATTGTGAAACCCCATTTCTATTGAAAATACAAAAATTAGCCAGGCATGGTGGCACAATCCTGTAATCCCACCTACTCGGGAGGCTGAGGCATGAGAATCACTTGAACCCAGGAGGCAGAGGTTGCAGGGAGCCAAGGTCATACCTTTGCACTCTAGCTGGGGCAACAGAGTGAGACCCTGTCTCAAAAATAAATAAATAAATAAATAAATAAATAAATAAATAAATAAATAATGCTGTCTCTTAAGTCACAGTTGTCTCTTAAGTCACAGTTGTCTAGTCTGGATGGGTATCACGGTCTGTTTTGTACACAGCTGTCCCGGGTATCTCCCATCACTATCATCCTGCAGATGTGCTTTGCCTCTTTCCTGTGATGTTATTTTTGTTTCCTTTATCCTTGCTTTTCCTTGTGTTTTGATAGAGTGCTACTCCTCAGAAATGGTACATGGGATGCAATTTTTTTGAGACATTACATGTCTGAAAAGATGGCTTTATTCTGCCTTCACATTTGATTGTGAATTTTGTTGGGTATAGGATTTTAGGCTTGAAATTATTTGCCTTCAGAATTTTGAAGGCATTGCTTCATTGTCTTCTAGTTTCCAGTGTTGCTCTTGAAAGGGCCAGAGCCATTTTGATTTTTGATCTTAAATGACTTTTGTTCCTCTCCCTCCTCCTTTACACAATCAAGTGAGTATGATCTTTTCTTTTTTCTTGTCCTTATAAAGTTGAGAGTTCACAATTATATATCTTGGTGTGGGTTGATTTTCATCTATTATTCTGGGCCCACATCTATTTTTTACCAGACTGATTTCCTAAAGAATGTTATTTAGCATATTGCCTGGCCGTAATGTGGTAGGCCTTCAACAAATGTTTATTGAAAAAGTGAGACACATTGTTACACTTGAGAGAATAGCTTTGCCACATACTAGTTGCAAGTTAGATAAGTTACTTGTCCTGTTTTCCCATTGGTAAAATGGGAATGATAATGAGATAATCTATATGAAAGCATGTGGAATCATGCCTGACATATAGTAAGCATTCAATAAAAATAAGGTATTATTATTATGATAGTATTATTGGCTGGGCATGGTAGCTCATACCTGTAATCCCAGCACTTTGGGATGTAGAGGCAGGCGGATCACTTGAGC